CCATGATGAAAATGCTTATATTTAGTTTCAAACACACGTGTGTGGCCGATATTTTAAATAAGATAAGCCCTATGTCGTATTGTTTTCTATATGGGGAGTGGGGTGGGTATGGTAAATTACTAACTGGGAAAATAAATACCCACTCTGGCCCAAGACCCCTGTTACGCGCCTGGTGTTAGCGCCAATGTGTGCCCTTGTGCGGACAGGGGATGTACCTCCCTCTGAAGCTAGAAACCTTGTTTTTGCAAAATAAATTGATGCAATTTGCTATTATAGGCCTAATCAATAATTTCCTCATCAACCGATATAACCTTAAACATTCTTGGAATTGACATAACATTAATGATGTCGTACACACCCTTCAGTGTGAAATGTGGCTTTCTTTGCAAGCACATCTAACATCTAAGGAAAGAAGAGCTTAGATTGGTACCAGATAAAATAATTTTGTTATCAATATTAATACATTATGCTAATTTTCATCTTTGTACGCGCATAAGACAGTGCAAATTATTTCTGTGACAGTCTTTTGAAGTGTGTAAAGCTCCATTTTATCAAATACATAGTCAAAATCTTGGGGGGGATAGTCAAAATATTGGGGGATAGTCAAAATATTGGGGGATGATACAATGGACCATCTCCCTTGTCAAATATTGGAGGATATATCCCCCCCCCCCCGGATCTACGCCTATGCCTCCATCCAGGGGTGGCGCCAGGATTTGCCCGACGGGGGTGGGGGCTAGGTCCCCGACGAGGGGTCAGATTTCTCCGACGAAAGCAAAGTGGGCATAGTCGAGCTTCGATTAAAAGGTTTCGAAAGTGGTCCTTTGGGGGCGAAGCCCCGAAAATTTTGACAATTTAGGGGTTACAAAGGCTTATTTAATCGATTTTATATTCTACTCAAAATGTAGAATATATATATAGGCCTAATTTTGTTTTCTCCCCGACGAATTGTGCTTCTTCTCCCCGAAGGGGGGGGGGGGGCAGCTCTCCCCGCTCGCGCCACCCCTGCCTCCATCTCTGGAAGTACCTCTCCGAGCCTACTCTATTTTGAATTCCTGAATCCGCCACTGGCCCTCATTGCTAAATCATCCTCAGGGATGTAGAACGCCAATGAAGTTGTCATCATTGTGAATAGTGCGCCATCTGGTGGTGATTTAGACGAAGTTTTTTCTTTAAGTTCTAATACGATTCGTCAATTAAGATACTATAGCTAATTGGTGATACTATTGTTTCTGTGTAGCTATTCAGTGCAAAATCTATTAGTAGACGAGTTTGATTTGTTTATTCCTATCCGTGTAAAGCAATGATGTAACGGTTCTCTTAGAATTTCTCTGCCTGTTTGGGAAAACAGTTTTCGTGTTCCATGTAAGAGATTGTTAAAATGAAAAACACGATGAACCGTTCATTCAATGCCATGGGTGTATGTAGGTGAGGTGGGTGGGGGGGGGGAGTTAGGAAGGTGGTACGATTCCCTCCCCCCTCAAAACAAACATTTCCACAGGAAAGGTCCACCTTTTATCAAAAGACATTTTTTTCTAGGGCCTTTTCACAATGACATAAATGAAAAAGCATTGATGAGGTAGCCTACCAGCAATGAGTCCAAGTGTTCCATGTAAGAGATTGTTAAAATGAAAAACACGATGAACCGTTCATTCAATGCCATGGGTGTATGTAGGTGAGGTGGGTGGGGGGGGGGAGTTAGGAAGGTGGTACGATTCCCTCCCCCCTCAAAACAAACATTTCCACAGGAAAGGTCCACCTTTTATCAAAAGACATTTTTTTCTAGGGCCTTTTCACAATGACATAAATGAAAAAGCATTGATGAGGTAGCCTAACAGCAATGAGTCCAAAGACCTTGCAATTGCGTGACGTAATCTATCTCAATTCCAAGGAATGAACGTCCTCAGTCTGTGCCAATTCGGCAGCAATTTCTATTCTTTTTAAAATTGTATTGACATTTTAATCACATCTTGCTGTTATTTCATTGTGAAGAGGGTCCAAAAAATTATGATCATGACTCACCCAGAACAAATTTAGGATACACCCCTGAATGTGGATCAGAAAGTGTAGATTTGGATAATTGGTTAATTATGGTTTGAATACAGTTGAGAAGAAGAGAAAATCTGACGACTCTTGTTTCATCAAAGCATAGGCCTACCGTAGTTAAAATGGGCTATAGTGATATCGTGAGTGTACAAAACGTGGAATCGCCAACCCTTAAGAAAATCTTATTTTTGCCTTTCAATTGACTTTTATAAGGAATTGATGCAACTGTTCTTGATGCCATCTACCAAAGAAGTGCTAAAATTAGTGTTGGTTAACTTTAAATATTATGTTCAACCAGTGGATTAATAGGCCTCAACGATTGTGAATATTTCTATTCATGTAAATAAACACAAAAATTGGAGATTGTATTAGCTGATCGTTAGGCCTACGAGAAAATAAAAAGATCCCGATAGACATTGGATGACTGTAAATTACAAGTTGCAATTTACGAGAATATTTACGCTATTCTGAAATGTTCAGCTTAATTCCATGAAATCAGACACGCAGAAGCTGAAAGTGCTTTACGGAAGCCCGTTAGTGCCACCAATCCGTTAAAGTGGCGGCCGCCAGATAATTATGTGGCGGGTACGGAGTGCGATATCGCTCAGTATTCGGTTCCTGAACTGCATTTCAATTAGAAATTTACTGCAGTGAGTTCTCTGGCCTCTGATTGGTCAAAATATGCATGGAGGGCGCTAAACTCGCAGCGGTAACTTAAACTTACTGCAGTAAATTTTTTTCTGCTCTGTGTGATTGGTTAGAATTTGTTGCCAACAATCTTGCTGCATAAAGTTTAATATACCACCCAAACGCTTTACTACGATGTATTTGATTCGTCGATGAATTAGATACTATACCACCATGCATGAAGAGTATTTTAACGTATAAATGTATCACACTTGCATTTTACACTCCAAGATTCAAGATTCAAGATCGTATTTATTGTCATACACGAGCATTAATTGTTCGCCCATCAACAAGAATACGATGGTCAGGCGAAGGACTATATTATTGTTTCTACTGGTGTGATTTTCAGCTAAGTAGAAAGCATACATACATACATACACACACACACACACACACACACACACACACAT